TATATATATATATATATATATATATATATATATATATATATATACAAGCAAACAAGACAGTCTGCATCCTCATGGAGCTTACATTCTAATGGAAGAAGAGAACATATAAAGGGGAGGTGGAAAGAGTTGAGAGGAAAGCAGGGCCAGCTGCTCCTGAGGAGTGAAGTCTGGAGGGTGAGTCAGACCAGGGCAAAGTGAGGATGGTTAAGGTCTTTCATGAGATGGTGGTCTCAGCTAGAGACTCACCAATGTATATTGGTATATTCTTTCAAGAGTAATTTTGTGGTACACACAAATGATACAGAGATAAAAAGGAAATTGTCCTCTATCCTAGAGTACTTTGGGCTCAACTAGCAAAGCCGACTTCAAAGTAAATTGTAACAGAGGCTATGGGGAAGGAAATCTTTTTTTGCAAATAAAGACCACCCCCCCCAAATGAATATGGTGTTTTAACTGGAAGTATAAATGTTTGTATCATCTTTCTTGAGTAGAGCTTCTATTTTAGAAATTCAATGAAAGTAAAAGTCATATTAGAATACATTTTGATCATGACTCTTTTGCTTTGTATTTATTTTTATTGTTCTTTATCTATTGCAGGTGTGGGCCTCAGTGCCAGTGACAACGAATCTGGCCAAGGCAGTCAGGAAGGAGGCACAATGACAGACTCCCAGATTCTGGAACTGAGAAGAATACCCATCGCTGACACTCACCTCTAGCTCCTCTTGTCAAACAGGAATTTTGACATTTTTATGTTTGTTGGATGACCTTCTGGTGTGAATCTTTCTCCATATGTGCAGCCAGGCAATGGAGAACTGGAAGTTGTCCCCAGATGGGGAGCCCAGAAAGGGCTGTGTCTGATAAATAGTAGATTTTTGGCAGAATCCCCATAAGCATCTGTTCTGGTGAAAGATTAACAAGAGTTAATAGGATGCACTTATTCCATAAAGTATAGATGGAGTTTTTTTAATTGAGCTGCATGTCTAACAATGTTTAATGAAAGTAATAATTGTTATTATTAATAAAAGTAATAGAACCCGTTTGATCTGAAACAGGCTCATTTCTTGGTGGGGATATGCTATGCTTGATGAAAATGCTATCTTCAGGGGCAGCTAGGTGGCATAGTGGTTAGAGCACCGGCCCTGGAGTCAGGAGGACCTGAGTTCAAATCCAGCCTCAGACACTTGACATTTACTACCTGTGTGGCCCTGGGCAAGTCACTTAACTCCAATTGCCTTGCCAAAAAAAAATGCTATCTTCGTAGGTTACTTCTCTACTATAGTAACTCACTCTGTCAACTGAATGAACCTTTCTGAAGAAATAAGTACCAAGAATTGTATTCATTTTACAAAAGGTAAAATGAGACATAAAGAGATTAACTCATTTTCCAGGTAAGAGTCTAAGCCTAATTTCTAATTTCTAAGGTAGATTCTCCCCATTCAGCATGTGGTTTCTTCATCTGGTGTCTGAGGTAAACACCTAGACAATAATTACTGATACCTTGGGTTCTTCCTTCAAGACCACAAGACCACAAGCTTTGGCAGATCCTACCAAGCTGGAGAGGCTTCAAACACTGACCAAGTGAACTAACTGTTAAATGGACTGTGTGTCATCTGAGCGCTTGCTTACCTCAGTTGGCATGGCTCTTCTCTGGAAAACTGGCTGCTGTGTGTTGAGTTTTTTGACTGTAACAACTTATGAAGACCATGTATTAAGGCTTGGAAGTCTGAGAGATGGAGTCCCTAAAATGATAAAATCACAGCTACTTGGATAAATTGAAGTAGACTTGTCTTAGTCTTTATCACCTAATAATAAAGCTTATAAAATCTTCCTGTGGCTAAATTGTAATTGAACTTAGTTGTTGTTCAGTTGTTTCAGTTGTGTCTGGCTCTTCTGTGACCCCATCTGGGGTTTTCTTAGCAAAGATACTGAGGTGGTTTGCCATTTCCTTCTTCAGCTCATTTTACAGATGAGAAACTGAGGCAAAAAGGGTGAAGTGACTTGCCTAGGATTACCCAACTAGTAAGTTTCTGAGGCCAGATCTGAACTCAGGAAGACGAGTCTTCTTAACTTGAAGCTTGGCAGTCTATCCACAGCCACCTAGCTGCCCATTGACCTTAATAAGGAACAGAAATACAATTGCTAAAGCTACTGATCAACCCTTAAAAGATAGAGATGATGGTCACAATTAATTGGCAAGAACTAGAGAGTATGGAGGGCAGCTAGGTGGCAGAATGAATAGAGTTACCATCATGGAGTCAAGAAGATTCATCTTCATGAGTTCAAATCAGGCCTCAGACACCTGCTAGCTGTGTGACCCTGGGCAAATCATTTCACCCTGTTTGCTTCAGTTTCCTCATCTGTAAAATGAGCTAGAGAAAAAAATGGTAAACCACTCCACTATCTTTGCCAAGAAAACCCCAAGTAGTGTAATGAAGAGTTGGACGTAACTGAAAATTACTCAACAATAACAAAAAGAGTATATTCAGCAGTTGTGGGGAGGGTTCTCCCAAGATTAGGATGCAAAAACCTCCATCCTTGGAGAATATTCAGAATAGTCAAGCCCTGTTCTGCTGGAACCCTAATATAAGGTGGTGGAGATTGAGTTTTAAGTAGCAACCCGAAAAGCAGATAACAAAAGGGTAAGATATAGCCATACACCTAAGAAATCCAAAAGGAAATGCCAGATATCATCTATAGAATTTCTCTAAAGAATAACAATTGACAGAGACAGAGTTAAGATGGCAAAGTGAGACCTAGAAATTTTGCCTTGAATCCCCCACAAACTCTTACACGGTTACCTATGAAGTGCACCAAACCAAATTCTAATCAGGAAGGCAAGAAAAAGTCATAGTGCACCTTTGTTCCCAACGTGGGGCAGCTTAGGAAGATAAGTCTGCAGACGTTAGGGTAGGGACTGCCCAGGAGTGCAGAGCAGTAGCAGCAGCACTCAGAAGGCAGTGGAGGTGGTGGTGGGAGTGGCAGAGAGCAGCCCCAAACTCAGGAATGGTAAAGACACTGAACACCTGGGCAGATTGAGCTTCCAGAGGATGCCTGTGCTAGCACCAGGAGTTCCATTTAGCAGCTCTGTTGCCCATTACCCAGTTCTGGGTGGAGAGGAGCACTTAGTGCAACCAAGAGGGAACAGGGGCCCTACCTTTGTATGGAGCAAGGAACAAGTTCCAGAAACATAGTTGTGTGGCTCTGAGCCCAAAAGCAGAGGGGGAACTCAGTCCTAGTCTTTCATCCCATACATAAGCCTGCAGTGGAAAAAATCAGGGCAGGAGACCAAAACCCAGGAGGAGCCAGCGGTTCAGTCTCTGAATCTAAAGAACTTCCTAGTGGACTTATTGTGACTGAGTCCAGCAGCAGGCTACAGAACTCAACTGAGGCAACACCCATTCAGTGATTAAGGCAAGGTGTTGTTTGTCCTTCCTTTGAAGAGGACCATGACATCAGGGAGGTGATACCATGACATGCAAGTGAATCGGATTTAAGTAAGGGAGGGCTGTGCAACACCTAGCCTTAATCACTGAATGGGTGTTGCCTCGGTCAAACTGAAACCTGGGAAAGACCTTAGCTTAAAAAGGCCGAGGTCTCCCACTGCATTGTGGGCCATCTGCAGTCATCCTAATCTATATCTTGCTACTGGACCCAGATGGCTCTGGAGGAGAAAATGAGACTGGTGCCTTTGCACAGCCTTCCCTCACTTAAATCGATTTCACTTGCATGTCGTCCATCACCTCTCTGAGGCCATGGTCCTCTTTGGAACAAAGACCAAATAACAATAACAGAACTCAGCTACACGCAAGCCAACAGACCCAAACCAGGTCAGCAATTTGCCAAACACTGAGCACTTCTTCCTGGATCACACAACATTAAAAGCACTTAAAACTTACAGACCTCCAGAATGAACTGTGAAAGCAGAAGAAGGAATTAAAGAGAGAAGCTCAGGTCAGTTAACCACCACAGAAGTAAGCAGAGCACAATACTAAAGTCCAAAGTCAAGAAGTAGACTGCAAAAATGAGCAAACAAAAGAGAACAACCTCACAATAAAAAGTTACTATGATGACAGGGAAGCTTAAGACACAAACACAGAAGACAGTGACTTAAAAACATTTATGAGCAAAGCCCCTCCCTCCCAAGAAAAATGCAGATTGTATAACAGCCCAATAAGAATTCCTAGAAGAGGGGCAGCTAGGTGGTACAGTGGATAGAGCACTGGCCCAGGATTCAAGAGGACCTAAGTTTAAATCCAGCCTCACACACATAACACTCACTAGCTGTGTGACCCTGGGCAAGTCACTTAACCCCAGTGCCTAGCTAAAAGAAGAAAAAAATTCCTAGAAGAGGTAAAGAAAGGGTTAAAAAAAAGAACAAAAAAAATTTGAAAAATAAGAATGATAGAGGTAAAGAAATAAGAGCTCTGAAAGAAAATTATGAAAAGAGAATTAACAGCTTG